AAAATATACAGATCCAGATGACTTGTGAGAGAGGACGCTCATAATTTCCAAGAAATAGCGCTCCTGCCTCTGAGAGGAGAGAACGTCTGGACTCAGGGGAGTGAGTACATATTAAAGTAGAAGGAATGAGAAATAAGCAACATGTAAAAAAGAATTAAACTGAGGAGAGTTGGTGACATTGAGGGAAGCAAAGGAGATAGAGCTACAAAATATATCAAGGAAGAATTGTAGGTAAAGAATCCATATTTCTACCTCTAATTAAATTTGATTTTTTTGAAATAAATGTCCAGTTTATTCTACTGCCCTGAGATAGTCTTATTTTGCCCTACCCAAGTGCTAACCAGAGCTGCTCTGGGAAAGAGAAAGTTTTCGTTTGGCTTCAGATTCAGTTCCTTTCACTGTGTCTCTCACACAGAGTGACAGACTGCCACATCCTCTAGTTTCAGGCTGTTCTTTTGCAGACACAACTGGCTTTTGGCATTGTCCCTGGAGACAGCGAAGTGTCCCTTCACTTTGTCTGAGTAGTAAATATCACTTGAAGAAGAGCTTATAACTCCAACCCATTCCAGTCCTTTCCCAGGAGTCTGTCTCACCCAGTCCATGTGGTAGCTACTGAAGGTGAATCCAAAGGGTTGGCAGAAAAGATGGAGGGACTCTCCAGGTCTTCTCACATCTCCTCCAGGCTCCACCAACTGGACTTCACATTGGACTCCTAAAAAGAAAAGTTTTTTTGAATGAGATCTCCTGCATAGAAGAACAGAAAAGGGGGGGGGGGGGGACTCTATATAGAGGGAAGAGAGGTTGGAAGGGGTTCCTGAGCTCCAGAAGACCTAAGGATGTCCTGTGAGAGAGGTGAGGATGGACACAAAGATGCTCTTGAATGAGGGCTGTGAAGGTTATTCTTTTTGAGGAGGAAATTTTAAAATTCCTTTGCTATTAAATGTATTAAAACAGGAGCAATTTGCCTGATGTTTTTGCACCTTATTTTTAGGCTTCTGACCCCTTCCTTGGCCTCACACCACACCTAACTATTGGGGGTCTTAGAGGATCTTTATTTTATTATATGACTACAATTCTACTGCTAGCAGAGGAATATGATTGTAAATATATTTAAACTTTCGAATACATATATGAGTGTATGTGCATGCTTGTCTGTGTATCTATCTATCTATCTATCTATCTATCTATCTATCTATCTATCTATCTATCTATCTATCTATCTAT